TTTTTTTGGTGCGGTTCGCTTTCACACTGCCCTTTTTGCAAGTGAACCAGAAACTGTAAACAAAAAAACACATGTGCTTAAGGTCATCCATTCAACCGTACCAGAGTTCGTTTGGAACCGGACCGAGACCATCTCTTCAGCTGGGTCTCGGTACGGTTGTATGGTGCGCACCCGAGTGCGATTGCTGTATTCACACCTGCCCAAAAGATCCGCACCAAGGGGGAAACGAACTTGAGTTCGATTCAATTGAATCATACAAAACTTTTTCTTTTTTTTTTTTAAGTTTACTAAACTAATATTTTTAAATCTAGCATGAACACATTATTACTTATTCTAATGTTGAATTTTAAGTTGCTGGATTGTATTGCCTGTGAGATAAAATGTCATACATCCGATCATACTTTTGAGTTTTAGTATGTCTTAGCTTGTTAAACCTTACATTTCCCAGTGTTAAAGCAACATTTGTTAGGATATAATGAACTGTGGCTGCGTTCTAAATCTTAAAGAGCTAGAGCTTTGGCACTTTCACCATTAGACGGATATATAATAGAGATCTGAGAGAATCTGCCCTACGGCAAAACAGTATTTCACCGCACTGGCTAGATGATGATCCAAATGAAAGGAGAGGCGGTTCAGATGGTGCTCTTTTCTACTGGCATGAGAACACACACGTTGATTGAGTTTGATTGTGTGTGTGAGCATGTGTGTGTGTGTGGGAGTGTTTGTGTACAAGGACTCGTTATCATGTGACAGATTACAACATACAAGCTCAAGTGGGAAAGTTGTCATGAGGGCTTTGTATTTTCGTCTGTGTAGCATCTGTGCGACTTTTCATTGCTCTCACGGCTCAAAAGGGGAATGTGAACACATCGGGGAAGCAGGGGATTTGTTCCTCTTTTTTGTACAGAACCCTGACTGTTATCATCGCATCTACTGCAGCACCCTTATCCGTTACTATGCTATCGTTTACTTATAAAGAATCACATCTCATAAGAAAAAAAAAATTATCAGAATTTGTACCTGAGCTCAGACAAGCATTTTATTAACAAAGTAACAAGAACATGCTATTTGGGGCGTTAAATAATGGCGCAAATAACAATAATCTGATGAGCGAAAATGTTAGTAAATTGCGTTGTGTGATTCATTTTATTACTCTTCTCCCATACATTTTGTGACAGAAAGGGAAACTCCTACAAATGCATATTCAATAAGGTCAGGTGCAAAAATAACTGTGTCCATGCCTTCTTCATTGCACATCTTTAGTAAATCCTGACAGTACTATTTTTTTAAAGTTATATTTTGGGGCTTTTTATGCCTTTAATGGTAAGGACAGTAGAGAGCTGACAGGAAAGCATTGGGCAAAGAGAGGGGAGTGGGATCAGCACAGGACCTCGAGATGGGAATTGAACTCGGGCCGCCACAAGCACAAATACTTTGTTTGGCATTCCAAAAGAGGACACGACTAGAAATCAGTGGTTAAGTTGTATTTACAACACTGTTCCAGAACAGTTAAACCCAAATATTCAGATGTGTCCAGCGCATTTTATGGAGGACTGTTTCCTGATAGAGTAGACTACAATGCCGGCTGTTCTGACTCACAGACTGTAAGTACGTTTTCCTATTTAAAGGATTTGCCACTGACGATTCAAACGCGAGTTTTGAGCAGTGTAGAGTAGCGCTTGTTGTTTGTCATTTCTCTGATCACAAATGCAGATGTGGTTTTATGTTTACGCGGCGCGATGCAACAAATGCCTCGTTTATTATGGGTTTTAATGTTTTTGTCTCTTCGCTCCTGCCGGACAGGGCATCACAATATGGTAAGGGGCGTAACATTTCCGTCACACGCTTGAGGTATTCGGCCAATCACAACGCACTGGATAGCTGGCCAATCAGAGCACACCTCGCTTTTCAGACCGATGAGCTTTGTAAAAATCGATGCGTTTCAGAAAGGCGGGGCATAGAGCAGAAACAATAATGAAAGTGACGAAAGTGAAAGTGACGTGACATATGGCCAAGTATGGTAACCCATACTCGGAATTAGTGCTCTGCATTTATCCCATCCTAAGTGCACACACACAGCAGTGAACACACACACACACCGTGAACACACACCCGGAGCAGTGGGCAGCCATTTTTGCTGCGGTGCCCGGGGAGCAGTTGGGGGTTCAGTGCCTTGTTCAGGGGCACTTCGTCGTGGTATTGAAGGTGGGAGAGAGCGCTGTACATTCACTTCCCCCACCTACAATCCCTGCCGGTACGAGACTCGAACCCGCAACCTTTGGGTTACAAGTACGACTCTCTAACCATTAGACCACAACTTTCCACATTAAACCGCATAAACACATTTCATTACACCAAATACACAAAATAATGTTCTTTTTAGCAACATCATATGACCCCTTTAAATTTATCTTTTATCTTCTTTAACTATAATCAATAAATTTGTGAACAGTTACATACAAACCACACCTGGGATGAATTTAACTGATTTTATGAACCTTTTGATATACCGGCTTCACTGTACAGAACAGGTGTATACATGGCGAAACAGCGTGATGAATACTAAGCAGAAAACTAGACAATAAAAATAATAACATAATAGCAACGTAATAACATTTCTTTTAATATCCTGCTGTACTACCTGATATAATTAACACCTCGCCGTTGATTTGCATAACTTTGCTGAAACAGTTGCAAGAGTGTTGTTTGTTTATCTGACTGAGTTTGAGGCCTCTTAGAAATACAACAGAAGAATAAGAAGATAAGGTGATACACATCTCCTGGAAGTTAAAGATAATCACAAATGGTTTCATTTCAACATAAGCCATTATTCTTTTAGAAAAACAACTAGATACCCAGATGTTCTACAACATCATGGAAATACTAAAAACGCAGGTATTTCCTCCACCATAAGGCACCTGCAAGTTAGACATCGTTAAACGTGCCTAAAAGGGGGTGGTAACTATGGCAACAACGATAACTTCTCATCTCCAGACGTCGTGGCTGCTTGAGGCGTTTGACATGGCTGGTGAACCGGTCAATAGGGCAAGTGGATTGTGGGTACACAGAAGAGAGGAGATGAGATCGGCCCACCTCAAGCCAGGTGTCTGAACAGTTGTTTACACATTAAGAGCATTGGACGTCTGCTCCCTGTCACGGCGGCGCCAGGGCAGAGGGTCACGGCCAGGGCTCCATGGACATGAAGGCGAATCTCAGCATTAAGGAACATCGGAGGAAAAGGGAGGGAGATTGCAGTGGTAGTTCGCGTGCCAAACGACAGTAATAAAATATCAGAAATTAGAGCCGCAGAAGACAATGGGTTATAGACTACCTTTGATTTACAATTAAACAAGCTGTTACGGCAGTGTACAGAAGCACTGGCATCCTTCCCAACCTGTAATTTCCTACCCTCTCTTGATAAGCCAGCTTAGCTGAAAGCATCCAGCAAAGTAGACAGAAGAAACAAGACAAATTTTAAAGAAATAGTTCAATCAAAGTATAAAAGTTGGTAATTTGTCACTTTGATGCCCTTCTAAACTCATACTGGTATAACTTACTTTCTTCAGTGGAACACAAAGGAGATGTTTTAAAAGCTGCTCTTTTCCATAAATTAAAGGTAGATAACCACCATGGTCTGTCGAGATCCAGAAAGGACAAAAAAAAAAACAATAAAAGTAGGACAACTGATTTAAAGCATTGTGGTACTGTTGTGTACGCGTGTCGAAGTCTGACATGGAAGAGAAGAAATTGTTGAATAAAGTCATTATTTTTGTTTTCTTTGTGCACAAAAAGTATTCTTGTAGCTTTGTAAGATTGAGGCTAAACCATTGATGTCACATGGACTATTTCAACGATGACCTTTCTGGGCCTTGAACACGTCAGTTGCATTACTGTCTATGAAGGGTGAGAGAAAGCTTTCGGATTTAATAAAAAATATCTTAATTTGTGTTTCTATAGCTATAAATAAAGGTCTTATGGGTTTGGAACGACATGAGGGTTTGTAATTAATGACAGAATTTTCATTTTTGGGTGAACTATCCCATTAAGGTAGCTTTTATTTATTATTATTATTGTGATATTTACAAAGCCACCGAATTATTTTTTAGAGTTTAAGCTGTATTTTAAGTCTTTGGAGCTTGACAGCCATTTTTACTGTTATATGGAAAAGTGCAACATGAACATTCTGCAAAACATCTTGTTTCTCACAGAAAAAAAAAGAATATTATGTGTTTGGAATGACATGTAGGGGAATAAATGATGACAGAATTTTCATTTTTGGGTGAAAATTTGCCTCTTTAAGGCAACCTTTTTCTTTCCCAAGCCAGCAATCTTGTCTCAGGCCAATAAAAAATGTAGCCTTTGCCTAGATTTCCTGTTTAACTCCTTGTGATGACATATACATGACAACAACACAAATGTGTATCATGGAAGGCTGCTGTTGTTGTTGTTATTGTTGTCGGCTTCCGCAGACTCAAGGATTCGAGACTTTTATCCCCGTTCTCACATTCAAAGACTTCCTCCTGGGACAAAGCTCCACGCTTTCCAAGAATCCCAAGAGGAATGCATGCCATCAGGAAAAACCATTAAGCTCAGAGTAAATAATAGCATTTTTGGTAGTACCTCATCACTTAAAAACCTGCATTATATAACACTTGTGTTCTTAGAGTATTTTATTTATTTTTTTTTTTAAATTAGTATTTTTTATTTCGGAAGGTAGTTGAGAATACTTGATAAATTCTAAACTAGGCCTCAGAAAGGTTCACACTTTTCATAATATCTAATTACATAATGAAGTCCTCAGTAATACAAATTAATGACCTAATATGCAATTACTAGAGTAGCTTGTAATTGCACATTGCTATTGCTACTGTAATTGATATTAACGTGCAAAAATGGACTCATTTTTAAAGGTCATGTGTGCCGATGGAAAAATCCTTTCCTCTATATACAGTCTGTATATATGCAGAGGCAAACACTACAGGGCTGTTTTTTTTTTATTTTTATAAATTAATTACATTTATGAATTCATCAGCTTTACCGTACGCTCTTCCCTGTGGAGAAAAGTGGAATAAACGACAACTATAAACAAAAGTGAAACTGCAAACTGCAAAGTGAATCTGTTACATAAAAACTATCGCACCACTATCCTGCAATACCATAATTCTGCAATCATAATGGAGCTCGTGTATATCATATCCTTTGAATTAAAAGGAATTTAATTTAGATATAAATTGTAAGCTTTAAATTAGCAGTCACGCTATTTAACATTAAAAGTGCATCTTTCTAGATAGATCCAACTGCATGTTGATTCACACACTCACCTCATGGTAGGTGGATACTGGTGCTCGTGGATGAAATTGGGCAGCAGGGGGCAGCAGTGAGTAGCCCTGCAGGTCCTCGTATGTCCCCCAGTCTCTCACCTCCTCATAGTAATGAGCGAGAGGGCTTGCGCCGTGTCTGCCATCTGGAGGGAAGGAAACTCAGCACATGAATACTTCAACCGTGTACCTTCAAACTGCAAAAATTGTAATTGTTAACTACTCCGTAAACAACTGTCACTGGAGGGGTTTGCTCAAATATTGAAAACTCGCTTTGCATAAAATCAAAAGAGCTTTTAAAAGCAGAAAACTTGAAGTGATCTAAAATGCCTCCCCTTACACCATCACAGAAAAAGAAAATATTTCTTTGTTATGTCTGCTAAGGCAAGGATCACTTTAACTCTCACTCATATTCAGGTTTGTTCATATCCCTAACTCTTAACTATACCTTAATTCGCGTAGATGATCGATTTGTTCACAAACTTCTAATGAAAGACGGACCTGAACCATACAGTCTCTTAGGACCCACAATCGCTTAGTGTTGGGGAAAGATTCTTTTAAAAGTAATGAATTACAATATTGCGTTACTCCATGAAAAAGTAACTAATTGTGTTACTTAGTTCCTTCTATGAAAAGTAATGCAAGTTACTTTTGCTTTACTTTTTGTCACCGGGGCTGGGCTTGCTTATTTGTTGTTGTTGTTGTTTTTTTTTTAAATAACAAAAAAACGAAAAGTTACATTTTTGGAAGCTGTAAAGTACGGAGCCCCGCACATGACATGCAAGAAAAAATAAATGAATCATGTGCACGATTTACTAATTCGTTCCCTCGATGTACTAAAACGTGCACACGATTACTATTTCGTTCCCTCTATTTGCTAATTCGTTCCCTCGATTTGCTAAATCGTGCGCACAATTGACTAATTCGTTCTCTCGATTTATAAATCGTGTGCACGATTTAGCAAATCGAGGGAACGAATTAGTAAATCATGCACACAATTTATAAACTGAGGGAACGAAATCTGAGGGAACGTGCGCACGATTTAGCCTACTATTTTTTTCCTGCATGCCATGTGCGGGGCTCCGTAGAAAAGGCCTTTTCAAACCAAAAGTGAAATTAATAAGCCTCCATCTGAAGGAAGTGCCTCTTCGTCTGCACCTCACTCCCAATTTCTCTCAACACGGACAGGAGAGATGTCAGTGAATAAATGGGAAATTGTATTTGAAAAAGTAACTCAGATATTTCATTGTAAATTTAAAAGTAATGCATTACTTTACTAGTTACTTGAAAAAAAGTAATCTGATTACATATCTCACGTTACTTGTAATGTGTTACGCCCAATGCTGCTCATAACACTCTAGCAACTGTTTAATGATGGGCCAAAAACACTAACTTTTTTGCTAAATTGCCAGAAAGTTATTAGGGAGAGGCAAGATCTGAACATAAAAATGTGAAAGTTCAGCTTTAATATCCCTCTTAAGTGTATAAGAACATTAGATTTAGTCTCACCATGATCCTCAGGGCCTTCAGGGTGAGTAAACAGGGCAGGACTGTAGACCTCAGTTGGGTAGTAATAATGAGTACTCTCCTGCTATTGAGGAAAAAGGACATCTTCAGTAGCAATAAACATTGTTTGTGAATTCAGGTGTGATGTTTTCCAATACAAGACAGGAAATGTTGCTTTCAAGTATTTTTATCTGAATGTTTTGCTAGAACAGCCTTTTCCAGCTTCCCTGTGTAAAAAAAAAAAGAAAGAGGAAAGGCTGAACTGTGAGTGTCCAGTGATAATACCCATCCGTAGCTCTCATAGACGCTGCTGTCAGGCTCGGAGCTGCTGTCGGTGAGGAGCGTTCGCTGTGCTGAGGCGTTGATAAGCTCTCTGCTCGCATAGCGGGTTGAGCCGCTCGCCGTGGACCTGCAGAAACATCACATCACACCTGCAAGTTAGAAAACATGACGAGAAAGCAAAACTTCTGCAAGCAGGGAGGAATTTCTGAGGAGCAGTCAATAAATTCAGATGTCCAGAAAATTGAAAGTGCATTATAATAAGCCTTAAAGTTTACATTACAGCATCTGAATATCTGAATAACTTTCCTAATGCATTATATATATATATATATATATATAAATGAAATCATTATTTCAAAACTGCATTTTGTATTTACTCGGGTTATCTTTGTGTAATATTAAAATGTGTTTGATGATCTGAATCTTTTAAGTGTGACAAATATGCAAACAATTAAAAAACCTTTTTCACACCACTGTATATATATATACACACACACATCACCCACTTAATCATATATTAAATATATTTATATAAATAATACTAATAACATATAATTTAAATAAATAATTTACTATTTCTGTTGTATTTTCTACTAATTTAATATTATTAATAAATATATAATATTATATATTTATAACATATAGATAATATATGTTGTGATGCATAGTGTATACACACACATATACAAAATATATACGTTTATAACTAACTTTTAAATATTATTGTATACATAGTGAATGACTCAGTATAGCATATTAGATTTCATGCCTCAACACAAATCAATATTTTATGTTTTAACAATGCACACATTTAAGAAATTAATTAATCAAAATATATTTATTTAATGCTTTTCTACTTTTTCCCTAATTGAATATTCTGGGTCATTTTACAAAAAGTATAAAAGTATATTTTATGTTAAATTTAAAGTTCAATTTACACTTCAGGCTTCGGTTTCTCTTTGTAATATCCTACTAAAACTCCAAGACTTCTGTCTATTCTGCTGTTTTTTCTTTTTTGGTTGCTCGTGACTCTGTCACCTGTAGGCTGGTGAATCGAACACTCTGTACTTCTCTGGAGTCTATTTATGGAGATGCAAGCTAAGCAGCGTTTCTATATGCCGTCTTGAGGGCTTCCATAGCTACTGGAAGCTGAAAGGCTTCATTCAGACAGGCAGAAGTTGTTCAGAATGCCTTCCAGCCATCGCAGCCTGCTGGTCTTTCTTGTTAGTGCGGCTCACATCACCATTACTATTGCTCATATTAAAGCACAGGAGTTTGTTCAAATCTCTAACCAAGTATTAAACTTTATGGCACCTAGCAAACCAAGCATCACTGCACTCACATTTTTAGCAGCAATCTTGTTTTTTTCAGGGTTTACACAGAAGTGAGCAGGCTTTGATTCAGAGCGCTAACACGACTCACCTCTGCTCCTCGCTTTTGGTCTTCTGTGAAATGCTCCTGGTGTCCTCTGAGGGCAAAACCAAAGGAGAGTGGGGTGTTACAGGGCAAAGGTCACAGGAAGGAGAGCATGACGGAAATGAAAGGTGTCCAGAACGTCAGACAGACAGATCACGAGATTGTTTGTGTACGAAACATTCATCATACGCCATTTCAATTACTGGTTTCTCCTTACAAATTGTGTTGTGACAGTAGCTTTAATAAACTGATAAAAAGGGCCGTTCAAATTGAAAGCGAGAGGAGAGGACGACAGGTTCATGAATAGAGAGGAAAAGAAAAAAAAATGGGAGCGAGAGATGAGAGGGGAGAGACAAGACACCTGACAGTTTGAAGGAGGGGGCGAGGCGAAAAAAAGACAGATCGGGTGAGTGAGAGAGAGAATGACAGAGGACGAAAGGGAAAGGGGCGAGATAAGGGGAGAGACGAAGGGAGGAAGTGACAGCTGCTGGGGAAAGGATAGATGGCGGGATGATGCAGATGGCTGAGGAGGCAGCGAGCGAGATAAGAGGGAAAGAGAGAGATGGATTTAAAAGTGAGAAGTCATATTAGGATTCAGACAGTTCATCCCTTTTGCGCTGCGTGCTGTCGCTGCGAGTCGACCAGTCTAGGACACGCTGTCTAACAGCGCAAAGTAGAAACGGTGACACGCTGAGGAGTTGCGCTGCCATTTACCTTTCAGGCTCCGCCCTCTTTTCCATTTGGCCAATAGAAAGCAACTCAGAGGATTTAGGAACAACAGAAGACCACCCACAGCCAGGATCACCACCACATAGACAGGAAGACCGCGACCTGCTGAGGAACAAGAGCTGTGAATAAAAACTACATAATGCGTCAGAAAGGATCGTTTTATTGAAGCACTATTCAGTCAGTGAACCCCAAAAGTATTTGGACACTAAGAACTATCTGTGTTTTTCCTCATATAACCTCTATAGAAAAAATTAACTACTGAACTTACATTTATTCCATAGATTTACCTCTTTGACAGATATACACCTAATTTTTGCATTAGTTCTTGCCCATACTTTTTTAAACATATACATTCCTCTTAGATTATACTGACTACTGAATATTGTTATTATTATTATTAAACATTGTATTATTTTTATAAAATGTATTATTATTATTATTAATGTTAAAAACTTTTCCACAATACTTCTCATTTGTCTAACAATAGTGTAAATAAAGCCAATTACATACATTTGAAAATTAATCATTATTAAACATTTTTATTATTATTGAATACATTTGTATGTATTTATTTATTTATAATGGTAACAACTTTTTTACACAATACTTTTCATTGGTCTAACACTAAATATAGTGTACCTAAAGCCAATAATAATTTAAACATTTTAATACAAAACAATAATAATAAACTGGAGCCAAATTTTATTGAAGTTAATTGTAAATTCTATTTATTTTTAATTGTAATTGTTTACCAACTCCATAGTGCTTTAGTGGAAAAGTCTTATAAAGAAACTTAATACGTCCATTCAAAATCAGCATGGCACCAGTTGCTTAAAGGTATTTTCAAAAACAGCTCAAAATCCTGTAAGTTTGAGTTAGTTAGAGAAAAGTTCTAGAATCATTTGTTTGCTTCTTGGGGAGATATTTTGTCATCCAATGCAATGACACTCCGATATTTTCAAGCATGACATAAGCGTTCAAATACTTTTTGGGCACAAGATATATTAATGGCAGCTGTGCTGAAACTCACACATATATATGTTCATGATGCTGAAATATGTCTTGGGTTGAATTTGCACAACTATGCATCACTGTCCTGTTGGATTTGCTATACCATATGTCACAGTTTTGTAGAAGAGAGCGTGTGATTGGCACAGATTTGACACGCTCGAGTCATGCCTCGCCGCGTGAAAATACCTCCAACGCCGCAAGAACTAGTTTATTCACACAGACAAAAGACATTGATGAATCTCTCGCAGAAAAAACTGCCTCACACAGTGTATCATTCCCAAATCAAACTGATGACATAGGAACTATCCGAGGAAATTGAAAACCCTAATGAATCTTTTCTACACAAACCCAATCAAAATGCAAAGCAGTATCTGACGGACCTCGAATTTGCCGCAAGCTAATGTCAGTTTATTTTGTATCCCGATTCAAGGGTCAATAACTGCCACGGTGTCCCATTAAACAGCACCACAGCGTTCAGGATTATAGCCTGAGCAAAACTGCACCAAACGCACGCAGCGGGGAAAACATCGAGCCCCAAAGGCTTTATGAAAGCACACGAAACAGGCCGGTAAAGGCCACGGAAACTGAAGTACGAGCTGAGAAATTGATCTGAATTCTGGGGTGTCAGGCCTTTTCTACGTTTGATAAATAGCAGCTGCAGTAAGCTGGAGGAAGAAATGCAGCACCTGCAAGAGCCGAGTCCTGGTCTGCTGGGGAGACCCCGTCATCTGCTTCCTCCGCATCTGAGAGAAAGAGAGAGAGAGAAGGTAAATCACTCAATGCAGAGGTTACAGAGTGCAGTCGCTGTGTTCTGCTCTGACCGTGAGTCTATGATCAGAAAATTCAAAAACTGAAATTGATTTATGCATTTAAAAACACTTTGCATCAACAACACTACTAGTACTACATATAGCCGAGTCCATTAGAGTGGACTGAAAATATAGAGTCGAAAGGAAAATAATGAATTCCACTGAAAGCACAGAGGTACCAATGTGTAAAATCAAACATTATAGACATAGTCTAGCCTGAAAAGCCCCATTGTGATGTGTAAAGACTTTAGTCAGAGTAAATGGCATATTTAATGTGCCACAAACGAAAACGAGGCACTTGAATGGACTGTACTTTCACGTCCCTGTTTTCATTTGCATTAAATTACATGTGGCTTCTACTCGACTGGAGTGAGTTGAAATAAGGTGATTGCGGAAAGCAGCGCATGGACCTGCAAAAAACGTCTCGTGCTTTTTCATAGTCTAGTTATTGTCGAATGCTGCTCAAGCAAAGCCATATGCTGTGTGTTCAAACGGAATTGAGGATTTATGGTTTCATTGGGGTTTTAGTGAGGACTGTACAAACTGAACTGTTCGACTAGTTGTTATTCATCCTTAAAGGGAAAGTTCAGACAAAAATGCTTTGAAATTTGCATGCAATTACAGTGAAGCTTTCAAAAAGGACACAAAACTCTAATGTACAGTGGGTACGGAAAGTATTCAGACCCCCTTACATTTTTCACTCTTTGTTATATTGCAGCCATTTGCTAAAATCAAAGAGTGAAAAATTTAAGGGGGTCTGAATACTTTCCGTACCCACTGTATATTCAAATTTAAAGATGCACATTATTATATCATTATTATTATTACTACTATTATATACACACACACACACACACACATATATATATATATATATATATTAGGGCTGTCAGTTTAACGTGTTAATTAATTAGTTATGAAAAAATAATGCGACTAAAATATTTTATCGCAGTTAACGCATTGGCCCCGCCCCCAGACCTGTACATCATCTTACAGTTTCATACAGTTGACTGTTGACAAATATGATGCAGGGCAACAACTCCATAAATGCAGTTATGCCCTAAAATTCAAGATATTGGGGCAAAAATGCTCCTGTACGAGTTTCTGTCTCATATTTATATCACATGATAAGCGATGATTTTATACAACAGTTCAGTAAATAAAACGTTTATATTTTAAACAGAATATTGTCTGTTTTTGCTCAGTTTTGCCAACAAAAATATTACCTATAAAGCCACAGCAGAACTGCTAACAGTACTTTACTATAATGTACACTACTGTTAAAAAGTTTGGGGTCAGTAAGATTTTTTTTTTTTAAAGAAAACAATATTTTTATTACATAAGAATACATTAATTTTATCAAAAGTGACAGTAAAGACCATTTTAAATAAATGCTGTTCTTTTGAACTTTCCATTTATCAAAGCATCCTGAAAAAAATGCAGCACAAAAATATTAAGCAGCACAAATGTTTTCAACATTTATAATAATAAGAAATGTTTCCAATTCAGCATATTAGAATGATTTCTGAAGGATAATGTGACACTGAAGACTGGAGTAATGATGCTGAAAATTCCGCTTTGCCATTACAGCAATAAATTGCATTTTTAAAAATAAACAAATAATATCTCACTGACCCCAAAGTCTGAATGGTAGCATAAATGACAAAAATACGACAATAATATAATCCATTCCACCATGTTTGATTGCCTCAATGCAAATAAGATATTTTAAGTTAACAAAAAATTAAAGATGAATTTTGCTGTTGTATGACATTCATGTTGCTTTTTTGGACCTTGACAGCCATTGGTCACTGTATGGTTTTGTTGTATGAAAAGGACGCTCTTAAAATATCTGATTTTGTGCTCCATGGAAGAGATAAAAATGTCTTCCGTATGACACGACAATGAGCAAAATATGACAGAGTTTGTCTTTAAATAGCTGATAAATGTTAAATAAGTAAGGTTTGTCAGTTCTGCTATCAGTGAACTCTGTGGCAGAGTCATGTTGTGTTTTCCGTACTTCCGTCAGCTGCCTGTGCTCATGACTAATTTGTTTCGCAAATCAAATGCTATGACATTACAATTGCAGAATTCATTATGTTTGCCGAGGGAATGTAGCTTATCATCATTTTTCATACATCACACGGTTTCGTTTTCTGTCTCTCTCCCTCAATCGCTCGATTTTTCTCCCTCTCGCTCGCAAACCTGGCAAAATGCAGACTAAAATATGCATTCAGAAAACACACTGGTGCACTGATTGGTGTAGACGTTCAGCCATTCGGCTTATTTGCATGAGGCTCAGCCGTGATCTTTGCCTTACAAATGAGATGTGATTGGTGGGATTGATGAATGGCTCATCAAATCAGTGGAAAGTAAAGCTGGTGTCTAAATCTACAAGTAAACCACCGTGGTCGGAAACCGAATGACGAATGATTTAGTTTATGTGTCGTAAGCTTTATTAGACAGGCTGAGCTGAATATACCAGCAGTGGTGACCATCAGTATTTTGTTGTTGTCTGCATAGCTGCTCTCTCCCATTGTATTGATAGCGTTGACTGAAAAGTTGTAGGTAGTGGAAGGGTTGAGGCCCGTGACTGTATAAACACTGGCTGTCGGAGGAAACACGTCCACATACATGAAACTCGCTGATCCCGCCCACTGGTACCTGTCAATCAAACAGATGCTAATGTTTATATACATTATACATTTATTTTTATACATTTCTACATTAAACTTGTGTTTCCTTTAATTCTTTATTCATTTTGTGTTCTTAAATAACACTTGACTTTCATACAGTTGGGTCTAAAAGTCTGAGATATAATAGAAATGCCTCTGTTTTTCTACTTTAATACATTTTTTGTATTACCAAATTTGTCACATAAAAATCTGAACTAAAAGTTGAATTAAAAATGTGAAGAAATAAAAAAAATGATGTACTTTAATTTCAATGTATGTCCTTTTAATTTTTATTATTCATTTTTGTCCTTATTCGTTTTTTAGGATCTTAAATCATTTTAAATTTCACTTTCACGCAATGGGGTCACTAATGAAACAGCTCTTATTTTTGTACTTAAATACAGGATATACCATTATTAAAGCAATAAGCCCCAAGAAGCCGTTGTTTACAGTGAATTTATAACAGTTAAGGGGCGTTGTTAGGCACCACGTTAAACCACGGCTTCACAGGGCTTATTGCGTTTATAAAACGGTTATACGTAGTAAGGTTTCACAAAATAAAACAGAGCAAATAAAGTGTAAATGATATTAATAAAAACAGTATTCTTCCAACAAACAATGGAGTTCATCAGAATCAGTTGTGGTTGCCACAAAGTGGTTGCCAAGCAACAGACAAACATAAACAAAAGGTGTATGTTTGTAGAGTAATTTACAACAGCTTTGAACGTGGCTCAGCCAATCAGAATCAAGGACTGGAACTATGTTTTATAAAAAATGTATTTTATCACCAAGTAATTAGCATCAAAAGTTTAATTTAATATTAACAGGAATTTCAGAATTTATAATATCTGTTTTGTCAGGCTTTTGTTGTAATGACAGCAGAACTGGAACTGCATGAATTCCACAAGTTTGTCTAAAACATGATGGTCACGTGATCAGCATAATTTGAGAATAATCAAAAAATTATCTTTTACAAGAACTATTGAGGATTCTGCATTCAAGGTGTTCACCTTTAGTGCACAAATGCAAATATTTCTTACTAATTTGACATAACTTTTTTGTTAATGTTTTGTTATTTTTGTTTTCAGATTTAAATTTGTAAGATTTTATATTAGATTAAAAACATTTTTTTATTTTATTTTATTTTCAATTTTCAATTTCATTTTTAATGAAATTACTGAATGAACTGTGATATAAAAAATAAACCTGCCTTTCCTATCAGGGAATCATACGGGAATTACAGTGCCATGGACCTAGATAAAAATGTTTATACATCAGCCAACTGAAATGTGTGCAGTGTTGTGACACACTAGAGACTGAGAGATAAAACATATCCACAACACACTCCACATGTTCTAGACACCTCACAGCGGCATTTATGACAGCTTCACCTGACACGGAAGTTTTGTGTCAAACCACCATCAAATCCGGGCATCCATTCCAGAGTTACAGAGTTATGGTCGACACGGAGCAGCTTCAGGTCTGATGGGGGATCGGGGTGGTCTGAGACAGACAGAGAGAGAAACAGAGAGAACACAAGTTCATTAAAAATACAACTACTGCCTAAATCTTATTGCATTGCTCAGAGAATGTTTATTTAAGAGGGGCAGAGAGACAGAGAGAGACAACAAGAAAGAAATTAACAGGCTACTGTACAGTCAGAAAGAAATATGTGCGTCAATAATACACTTCACTGTGAAACTGCTTAATTATCTTGTTGGCTCTACTGGGAGAGGGTGAAGGGGTCAATCCAAAATTGCAAAGCAGGGAGCAAAAATCTGCACCATTCCCTTCCCCGGTCGACTGATGATAAGAAGCACATAAAATTTATTATCGCTGTGTCAGATTAATTATGAATATTCGCGGCAATAAAAACAGAGAAGGAGGTGTGGACAAAAAGAGGCGGATATTGGAATGTATTTCATGGTTTTTATGATAAACATTAAACGTGTCTGCCCGAGTCGATTCCACGGACCTCAGAGAAAGAGAGAGAAAGCAACAGCACAGCAGAGAGCTGGCAACAGAGGAAAACATTCAAGTTTATTGCAGGAAAGAGAGAATTAAAGTATTATTCCGGGTTCAATACAAGTGTATCTGTTACAAAAGCAAATCATTTCAACTCAACTCTCAATTTATAAAACACACACAAAAAAATATATAAAAAAATATAAAATATATATATTACACACACACAAATTTATTTATATATTAAAATAAATATAATATGTGAATTTATAAATGCTAAAATGCAGTGAATATATACCGTAAATATATTTCTTATATATTTTCATATTTATTTATATAATATTTATTTTCAGTGCTTATTATGAAATTATATATATTTATAAATGTTAAAAATGCAGTATGTCTATCTATCTATCTATCTATCTATCTATCTATCTAAAGTTATATTATATATTAGTACATTATATACATATATTAGTAATTATAGTTCAGAATCAGAGAATCAGAAATCAGAATCAGAAAAGGAATACTACACAAAGGAACTATTTACAATTAAAACTTTTTTTTATAATAACTTTGGTGCAAATCTCCAATGTAAGTAAGTTAACACAATTTTTGTGTGCAACGTAAAAAAGTAACATCACTAGTATTACAAAGAGGCAAAGGGAACTGCACTGTGAGCAAGAGGTACACAGATCGTTCAACCCTATTGTTCTGTAAATGAAGGGACAGTCTGAAAAAGAGCGGACGTTGATTACCACAACTGAATAATTAATATCCCAATTGCTGCTCAGGTCGAGAAAAACAAAATCTCATTGGTCAGCAGAAATCTCTTTCATTGCTCTGCTCATCTTCTTTGTGTGCGTTTATGAGTTGGCGATAAGAAATGCGACACCCAGACGCCGGTGTCTGTTTGTTTTCATTTATTACGTTTTTATTTATTCATACATTTATGCTAATTCACAATCACCTTTCAATAGGGGTCAAGAGAAGGTGACCTGACCAGTCAGGCGAAGCTGACCGTTCAAGCTTGGCATTGAAAAGATCACTTCCTGTTTGTACGTACTGGTGCTGAGGAGCTGGATGTCTAGAGAGTCCTCTCCCATGCTGTTGTGGACGGTGCAGGTGAAGACGGCGTAGTCCAGAGCTGCACTCACGTTTATGACGGTCAGAACGCTGGTGTGGATGGTCCCCGTCACCTCCATCTTCTCCTCATACCTGTAAGATAAGGTCACATAAACAATAATACGTGATATTCAGGACTAAAACAACCAAAACGGCTTTGCATTTCCTAAAATAACTGAAAATCCTGCAAGGCAGCAAAAGCTACAAATCCTGTATAGAGAGTTATAAAGAAAAGGCAAATTAGATTTTAATATTAAAATCTCTTCATATTAATCTTGATGCTTAATATTATTGCGGAAACGGTTATATAAGTTTGGGGTTGGAAAAATAAATTAATATTTCATGCATGAATTATTTAGCAAGGATGCATTCAATTGAGCAAAAGTAAAGACATTGACATTGTTACAAATGTTTCTATGCTGTTAAGCATCAAAGATGTTTTCAACGTTGATAATAATAAGAAATGTTACTTGAGCACCAAATCAGCATCTTAGAATGATTTCTGAAGGATAATGTGACACTGGAGACTGATGAAAATTTAGCTTTGAATTACAAGAATAAATTACATTAAAATAAATATATTAAAATGGAAAACAGTTATTTTAAAGGGGTCATATGATGCGATTTCGAGTTTTCCTTTCTCTTTGGAGTGTTACAAACTGTTTGTGAATAGATAAGATCCCTAAAGTTGCAAAGACTAAAGTCTCAAACCCAAAGAGATATTCTTAATAAAAGTTAAGACTCGTCCACGCCCTCCTAAAATGCCTCGTTTAAACACGCCCCCACACGTCTACGTGACGATGTGGGAAGATTTGCATAACACTGCCCAAATGTTCACGCAAAGAAAGAA